GGGGGAGGGGGCCCTCGGGCGGGGGTCTTGTGTGAGGAGGAAGTTGGGTAAGGGGACCCCAGGCAGTGGTGATCTCACTTCCCTGACAACAGAGCCCAACAGAATTTGGAACCCCGGTAACCAGGCACCCACATTCCAGAGACAGCCCCCTGCCCAGCTCATTTCTTTGAAGACCCTCCAAAAAAAGCATGTTTGGGTGCTGCTTCCCCAAATCTGGACGCTGCAGGCTGAAGAAAGAGCGCCCTGCAAACACTGTCCCCCGCTGGGGATGTCGAATCAGGGCTCCCCACCGCCTCTGGCCATTTGGCCGGAAGGACAGAAAGGTGACACCAGGAGGCCCAGAGCCTGCCACCCAGCCCCACACGCTCTGATCTGCCTGTGCAGCCCCAGGCCCCCCGCCGTGTGTGTGTGTCTGTGCGTGTCTGTGTGTGAGTGTGCGTGTGTGTGCGTGTGTGTCTGTGGGTGTGTGTGTGTGTGTGTGTGTGTGTAAAGAGGGGTCATGCGGGGTGGGGCCACCCTGAGCAGGAGCAGACTGATGAGGGGTCAGATTCCCAGTGGGCAGGTCATGTTCAAGGTCAAGGCTGGCTGGGTGGGATGGGGTGTGGGGGCGCTGCCCCTTCTACCCAGGGTTTATCCCGATAGCCCTGCAGGGATGGGTCACTGCATCCCGGGTGCAGGGCTGTGCACTCACAGGTCTGTGTCTGATCTGGGAGCAGCAGGGGGACTGGGCAGGAGGACAGTGAGGATGGCCGGGCAGGGCTGTGAAGCCTCCAGCCGGCTACCCGTCCCTGTCTTTGCAGAAGGCCACGGATGACCTCCCGAGGCGGCTGGCGGACAGGCCCTCCTCCCTGACGGAGGGGTTAACCCCACAGGCATCCCCCAAAACAAGTGCTGGGGATTGCCGGGCAAGACCTCCAACACCCCCCAGACCACTGTCCCAGGTGGTTGGTCACCGGACAGTGGTCCAGGAGCCGGAGCCCACGGAGACCGAGCCCGAGGGTGAGAAGGCTGGGGCTGGGTGTTTGTGGTGTGTGGGGATGGGTCGGTGTTGGCCCCACAGGGACGAGCCCCCAGAGGCTGGTGTGGGGCCTGGAGCAAAGACTGGGCGCAGAGCATCCAGCGGGTGGACTGCAGTCGGGGAGACACCCCAGGGAGGGCTCCTTCCTGGCTGCGGCTTCTCTGGGAGGCCCTGGGCTGGGTTCTGTCTCCGCAAAGGCCCACGGAGAGCGGGCACGCGGTGAGCTTTTCTCCTCTCACAGCTGCTCCACCACCTGAGGAGCTAGAGCCGGTTCCAACTCCATCGGCAGCTCTGGACGGAGGGGTGGTGCCTGCAGCAACTGCAGGAGGAGACCAGGAGCCGGCAGGTGACCCGGCACCCACCCACGGACAGCCTGACGTGGACCAGGAAGAACTGGCACCTGCCCCGGACCCAGCTCCTGCTACTGTTCCTGCCCCTGACCCAGCTCCTGCCCTGGATCCTGCCCCTGACCCAGCTCCTGCCCTGGATCCTGCACCTGCCACTGCTCCAACCCAGCTCCTGATCCTCCTCCTACCCCTTCCCCTGCCCCTGCCAGAGCCACTGCCCCTTCCACTGCCTGAGCTCCGGTTCCTGCTCCTTCTCCTGCTCCTCTCCCTGCCCCTGCCAGACTCCGCTGCCCCTTCCCCTGACCCTTCCTGAGCTCCTGTTCTTGTCCCTGACCCTGCTCCTGCTCATAACCCTACCCCTGCCAGACCTGCTGCCCCTTCCCCTGCCCCTGCCTGAGCTCCTGTTCCTGCTCCTTCTGCCGCTGCCCCTGCCCCTGCGCCTGCCGGAGCTCCTGTTCCTGCTCCTTACCCAGGTCCTGCCCTAGATCCTGCACCTGCCACGACTGCTGATCCTATCCCTCCCCTTGCCCCTGCCCCTGGCCCTGCTCTTACACCTGGCCCTGCCCCTGGCCCTGCCCCTATCCCAACCCCTGCCCCTACTCCTGCTCCCGCAGGGCTCCCAGAGCCACATCCAGAGCCCACAGCCCTGCGGGGAGAGCTCCTTGTACAATTACCCTTAGGTCCATCGCCGGACCCCGACGCCCCGCCAGATTGTTTCATCCCCTCCCCCTATGTTCTTTCTCTCTGGTTCATATTGTTCTGGTTCATATTGTTCATTTTCATGTTCTGTATACTGTTTATTATTTGTTTTAAATAAAATTACTTGTTTTCAACTGAACATGTGATGAGCATAAGTACATTCCCAACGCTGTGCCACCACACCACAGAAGATTGCTGCGGAATATCTCATGTCTCAAAGGAGTCCCCGAACCAGAAGCCCCCCTGCCCATTTCGCCCCCAGCCCAGACCCTGGAAACCCCTAAGCTGCTTTCTCTCCCTATTCTTTTACTTGTTCTGGATGTTTCTGTACGTGGAATCATGCAATAGGAGCCTTTGTGTCTGCCCACCTATTTTCAAAGGGGACTCGTTTTCTTCTGTTTATTTGTCATAAAATTTCCCTTATTCGATATTGAAATCCCCGATTGATTACAGATCAGATGTAATCATAGAGGCCACTTTAGGAATTATGGGCACAGGGGCGCCTGGGTGGCTCAGTCGTTAAGCATCTGCCTTCGGCTCAGGTCATGATCTCAGGGTCCTGGGATCGAGCCCCGCATTGGGCTCCCTGCTCCATGGGAACCGTGCTTCTCCCTCTCCCACTCCCCCTGCTCATGATCTCTCTCCCTCTCACTCTCTCTCGCAAATAAATAAAATCTTTTTTAAAAAAAGGAATTATGGGCACAATCTCGGGGCAGAGATCCCTGTACCTGCTTGGACACCACAGCCTGACCCCAGACAGGAAACGGCTGGTTAATCCTGTGGCCCACACAGAAACCAGGGAAACGCAGAAAGCTGGAAGACAAACCACAAAGCAAGGCCAGAGAAAGGTTTCACATGACTCTGGTACAAACCACGCTCCAAGTCACTGGGTTCCACAGGGATGGAGACCAAACACATGCCAGTCCAAGGGGGAGGTTAGGAATGCAGGGAATATGTGTCAGAGATGTGGAGCTCCCGGGGAAGGATTCCAGCAAAGGAAACCCTATGGAGGCAGGGCTCATCACCCTCAGACTGGCAGGTGTCTGGTCTGGGGAGAACGTGAGGAAGTGGAGGTCCAATGCAGGTCCCCTGGAGGAAAGGGTGACGGGCACCCCTGTCTGGGAGAACAGTGAGCATCACCCATCCCAGGCTGCAGGTGCACCCATCACCTGGCATGCTCGGCCTCGGACTCACCCCCGGAAACTCTGGCTCGGTTTTTCACAGATCTGCTTTCAGGAGTGTTCATCACAGCGGTGGTGGAGAGAGCAGGGAATGGAACAACGCTAATGCCCAAGGAGATGGATGGGATCCATGGTCCCAGTCCTCATGACAGAATGCCCTGTAGCCACTGTCACATTGTCATTCGGAGCACAGGATCCGGGAAGCCCCTCCTGAGACGCCTCCTGCCACCCTGTTCCTGGGAACATTGAGAATTGTTTGAGGAGGAGGTGGAGAGGATCCAGGATGACACCGGGTCCAAGGAGAAGGAAGGTCAGCACTGGGAGGACAGATGGACGTGCCCTGAGCCACCATCCAGGACCCAGGCTGTGATGCCCTCGGACCTCACCCCAAATAATGGCTCCTGAGGTACAGATCCACCTTCTGTGGTTTCACTCCCTCCCTCCCTACGTCATTTATTCACTCATTCATTCACCCCTCTCTCCTTCCCCTCCACTCCTCCCTTCCCTCCCCCACTCCCTCCCTCCCTGCCTCTCTGCCTCCCTCCCATCCTCCCTGCCTCCCTCCCTCCCCTCTACCCCTCCCATCCTCCCTTTCCTCATGCCTTTCTCCCCTCCTCCTCCCCATTCTGCCTCCCTCCCATCCTCCCTTCCCTTCTCCCTCTCTCCCCTCCTTCTCTCCCATCGTCCCTCCCTCTCTCTTTCCCTCACTCCCATCCTCCCTCATTCAGCACAGGATCTGGGGTCCCTGCTGGGTACTGAGCACTGGGGCTTCATTAGTGAGCACCCCCCAACCCACATGGTCACGTCCACTGTGGGAGGTGATGGGGGGCAGTCCTCACGGCTAGCTCTGGTGATGAGCACTAGGAATCTGCTCCTGGAAACAGGCCAGTCGCACAAAAAAAGAATGGAGAGACCCGTGTTTAGCACCTCCTCTAGAAAAATCTCGTCCTGAAAAGTGATGAAAAGTAAGTATGTCCTAGACTTCATGCCATGTGAGTTCTAATGGCAGGTACGCACTGATTCCTAGAACCAACAAAGAGTAAATCATCCAGTGTCAACTGGGGAGTTGTGACACAATTTTTCTGACCAAATGACAGCATTTCAGCCAACATCTCCAGGGCCTCCGAGTTTCCCCAAGGGTCTCTGTGATCCTTTGATCCTTCCATCGACCTCCTTGGGAAGCTCTGTCCTGTCCTCTTCCTTGTCTCCTGCCTCTTCTGAGACCCTTCTGTGGCTTCCCCCTCCCCCACTTGCCAGGGCCGCCCTCACCAGGATTCCCCATGCCCCTTGGCTGGGCGCCCGCATCCCACACTGAGCCCCATGAGCCCAGCGCCTTCTGCAAGGCCTGTGCGCTCCCTATGGGGTCACTTGGCATCTCCCCTTACAGCGACCTGCATCGTCCTGTGCTGAGTCTCCTCTGAGCAGTCTGTGAGGCCGTCCTGTGCCCGTGTCATGGGAACAGAAGCGAGAGTCCAGAACGTCCAGACGACCCACTCCCTGTCCCAGCGTGTGGAGCCTGGGCCAAGGATGGTCCACGAGCAGAGGAGGACTCGGACCCAGGGAGCCTGAGGGAGGATGTGGCACATTGAGCCCATAGGACGAGAGTGAGCAATGTGCGGGCCTGGTGCACAGACCTGCTGGGAGACCACATTGCACTGACTCTGTCCACAGGGCTGGAGGTTTTCTGGGTATCCACCCTCCCATGCTGCAGGCTGGCAGTGACTGGCAGGGGAGGAGGCACCTGGTGCAGGATACAGCCCTCAGGCAGAGAGGAGGGGGCAGGCGCTCCCCCAGCAGCTGGAGGAACTCGGGATAGCCAATTTCCCAGGCTGCAGCCTGGCAGTGGCTGGCAGGAGAGGAGGCACCTGGTGTGAGAGAGAGCCCTCAGGCAGAGAGGAGGGGGCAGGCGCTCCCCCAGCAGCTGCAGGAACTCGGGGTAGCCACCCTCCCACCCTCCCAGGCTGCAGGCTGGCAGTGACTGGCAGGGGAGGAGGCACACCTCGTGCAGGAGAGAGCCCTCAGGCAGAGAGGATGGGGCAGGCTCTCCCCCAGCAGCAGGTGCACTGAGTCGGGCTGAGGGGGCATCATTGGACAGCAGTGCCTGCAGCTGGGGTCTCCACACAGACCCCCTCCTCAGCCTCAGCACAAGCTTGTCCAGATGACCTTTGTCCCCCAAACACAAAGTCTGACCCAGGACCCCCCTCAAGCCCTGACTCCCAATCCTTTCTACTCAACTCAAGTGACAAGAAATGGACAATAGTTTAGGTGGTGTTGGGTGCACAGGGACATTTGTTTTTCTGGCCCATGCTGTAACGTTGCTGGCATTTTAAAGATCTCAGGGCTTTGATTCAAAAACGGCAGGATGCCGGGGACCCCAGACAGCTTTCTGGAAACCTGCCTCTGGGCCTTGCAGCCCTCCCATCCCACCAGCGCTCAGAATCCCACCAGCTGCTCAGAATCCCTCGAAGCCACAGACCCACAGTCTTGAGTCCTCAGATGGCCCAGGCGACGTGCCTTCAAAAAGTGATCCCGGTGGGGCTGCAGGACACACTGCGGATTCCAGCAAATCCCCCTCCCAGAAAGTGAGGGTACCCCTGGACAAACTGTCCAAAAACAGCCAGGTCAGGGTTCCAGGAAGACACCAGAGGCACAGGAGTAACTGAGGAGCATCTGAAGGCCAGGTAGGGACAGTGAGAATCTCTGGTGTTTTTGCCTAGGGGCAGCTCCGGTCCCCCTAAACCCTCAGTGGAATGGCTTTACTGGGGCATTGGGGGGTGGGGGGAACCATGCCTGGAGGACCCGTGGCTCCACTGTCCAAGGTCGCCGACTTGATCAGTGCACAGGTGGGGAAAACCAGCCACATCCCGAAGAATTTCTAGAAACAGTAGCCATCTCAGTGGTAGCTGACCTGGGAGGTCAACCTTTCAGCTGCCTGAGGTGAGATCGAGCCACAGACCAGGACACTAGCCAGAAATGGAAGAAGGAGAAGTAGTTCTTCATTTCATAGTTTCTAAGTCACCAGTTTGTTCCTACGGTTAGTATATTTTGCATCCTGGGAAATCTCTGCCTGTCTAAGGTCTTGAAACTGTTCTCCTCATGTTCTCTGCTGGAGAGGTTCTTGCAAAATCTCTGGTTTATAGGTAAAAATCATCTGGAATTGACTTTGGGTGGCACACCCATGCTGGGAAAAGGATGAAGCTTCCCCAAAATACTAAAAAAAGAACTCCCGTATGATCCCACTATCAGGTAGACCTTTTCAGGAAATAAAGTCAGTTTCTCGAAGTAAGATCTGCATTCTCCCACCCAATCTCCCTGAGGAGGGGCGGCCACCCTTAGCGACCCTCCCCTTGAGGCAGGTGCCTCCCTGGACAAGGGGCTACCCCAGGGCTGGAAGGTCTCCACAGCAGCACATCCAATGTCCTGATACTAGGAGGCAGAGTACAGCACCAGGCCAGTGAGGGTCAGGACACACTACCCCGAATATGGCACCTTGGCAAAATAAATACAGAAGCTAAAAGAACTTTTGCATAGAGCAAAGCAAGAAGGTCTCTCTGACCCCCAGCCATCAGCCCTTTTTCCCTTAAGCAGGTCAGAAGACTGCCATGTGGAACTTTCTCGCCCCGGACCACAGAGATGACGTGCTTATCACCAGAGTCAAGGAATTTAGGACCACGGGGTCTATACACACACACCTGGTTAAACTAACCCTTATCTTCCTAGTTACTTCTTTACCGTTTACGAGCCCTAGTCCAAACCCCTGCGTCTGTCCATTCTTCACACGCTGACTGCTTCTTTGTCTAAAAGGTAGAAGAGCTGTCTGCTCCAGTCACCTCTGCTGGTCTTCATGGTCTTGTGAGGCCCCCACCAAAGCAATCCATACATTTTGCTTGCTTTTCTCCTGTTCATCTGTCTTTGTCAATTTCCAGACTCAGCCGGGGACATTAACAGGGTTGAGGAAAACTTTTTCCTGTCTTGCAGCTCTGTGGGGCAGGGGGTGGGGAGTCAGGAAAACCCATCCTATCTTCCTGGCGTTGGTTAAAACCAACCTCTGCTGGGAAGCAGCATAGGACTGTGCACGGCTGGGGGAGCCAGAGGGAAGCACGTGGAACATGTAGGAGCTACCTGAGCCCCAGCCGGGGGACTTGGCCCCAGTGACAAGTCCAGGGTGTGATTATGAATATATAATGGAAGCATCCTGAACATCAGACCTTCCCCACTCCAGGCTTCATGATCGCTGCTCGTTGTTGTTGCTACTGTTGGCTTAGTGACTTTTCTGAACTCACTTTGTCAAGTCTGTATTCTTTGCTGTGTGTGGCCACTGAATCCCTGTGCTGTTAACTCAGTGGTCAGCCAGTGGCTGGGCAGAGAGGTCACCCCTGTTTCCGAGCTATGGGCTACAGACTGGAAGTCCCCACAACCTCCTCTTCAGGTTTGAATAATCTGCTCCAGTGGCTCATGGAACTCAGAGAAACATGTTACTTACTAGATGACCAGTTCATTAAAAGGACAGAACTCAGAGCCAGGCAGCTGGAATCGATGAGCAGGGCAAGGTGTGTAGAAGAAGCTCGGGGCTCCCCCGCTCTCTGAGTTAAAGAGGCCTTTGCCCACCTCCACTCTCACCTTCGTCTGTACTTCCTAACTGATGACGTCCTTCCTTCGGGCTCATCTGTTAACTCAAGTGAAAGACCCGGTGGGCACCAAAATGACTCCTCAAGTAATAACCACTGCTGATGTCCTGGTGATTCTTGGGCACAGCCATGAATCTCAGCTTCTTCATGATGGGGCGCAGCCCAGCAGCTGTGGATCTCACAGGTCCTCCAGGGGCAGCCCAGCAGCTGTGGGTCCCACAGGTCCTCTCGGGGACAGCCCAGCAGCTGAGGGTCCCACGGGTCCTCTGGGGACAGCACCTTAATGGGCTTATGGTCCAGCAAGTGCCTGTTCACGTGGCTCTCATTGTGCCACACAGCCTCAATCCCAGTGGCCAGGTTGACCCCCATTGCCTGGTGACAGGCCAAGGTCAGTCGGTGAACCTCTACCACCGACCCCCCAAAAAAGGTCCTCATGTAGTAAAAGTCGCCCTTGTCCCTGGGGATGTGTGCCTGAGACTGTGGCCAATGCTCGTAGCTGAAGTCCTTGCGGGCTGCCTGGTAGAAACCGGGGTGCAGGGTGGCAAAGACGGGGGACAGGATCTCCATACTCACGTGGTCGCAGAACTTCATGTCCACCTCTGTGCATACCAGGTAGTCCACCTCACGGAGGAAGTGTGGAATTATTCTTAGAAAATATATTGCAAGCCCTCAGGAGTGATTGTGGAAGCAGCTGAAAGGTCAACAGCGTTCCTGTTCTCAGACTATTGAACGCAAGGGCCCAGTAGGAGCAGGATCCCATGATCCCCAGGGGCAGGGCACAGTAGTTAGGAGCTAGGAAAGAATGTAACCCTCAGGTCCCCTTTCTGCACCTGGTGCTTGCTAGCACAAACATCCCACTTTTCCCTTATCCCATGACTGCCTCCCTGAGTGCCTGCCCCTAGGGGAGGGTGCAGGACTGCTTTACCGCTTCAGGATACTTGCCATCCCTTTGTCCTCCTTTCCCACGCTTTGAGGCAACTGTCCTTGCTTTTCTGATAAAAAAATGAAATAAAAGCAGAGGCAGCCCTGCATGGTCACTCAGCTGCTGGGCTGCCCCCATCATGAAGAAGCTGAGATTCATGGCTGTGCCCAAGAATCACACATGTTTCTCTGAGTTCCATGAGCCACTGGAGCAGATTATCCAAACCTGAAGAGGAGGTTGTGGGGACTTCCAACTCATGGCAGGTGGGGACAGAACCTTCAGGGGGTCAGCCAGGGGAGGGGACCCGCAGGGTTTGCCCGGGAGCTCAGCACAGGGGGAGTGTTCCTGGCTCCAACATGCTGACTGTGGGGCTGCATGGGTCACAGGGTCACCTACCCTAACCCTAACCCCTAACCCCACCCTAACTCTAATCAAACATCATGCTCAATTTAGAGGACTGACAGCTCTACTCTGAAATCACAAACAAGTCCATCATGCTGGCTTTCACTCATTGCTCAGTATCGTAGTGGAAGTTCTACCCAGAATGATAAGGCAAGAAATCCACATGTGAAAGAAAACAGTAGAACTACGTCTATTCAGAGACCAGAGATGACATCATCTTATATAGAGAGCTTCCTAAACAATCAACAAAAAATGATTACAGCCAGTTAATATCAACACACAAAAATCTCTCTTATTTGTATACATTAGCCATGAATCATCCAAAAAATAATTTAAGAAAACAATTCCAATTTAGGGAACATTAACATTGACAAAATACTCAGGAATAGATGTAATCAAGGTGCAAGGCTTGTACACTGAAAATTACAAAACATTGCTGAAAGAAAGGGAAACCTAAATAAATCTGAGGACCCCATGGTGATGAAAAGACATACTATTGATAAGATGGCAATAGTACACAATGCAATGTGGAAATTCATATCACTGTACCTTTTGTATATATACAAAGGTTGGCATGAGTGCGGCCAGGTGGAAGGCACTACTGGGGTGTGGAGATCGATGACACATTCTTCTGGACAGCAATCTGTCCGCACTTGGTATGAGTAAGCACACAAATCCCATGGCATGACACTCCAGCCCCAGGTCAGTTTGAGGACTGTAGGAGGGTAGCTGGGAGGGAGCTCATTGCAGCTTTGTGTGTGGGAGTTAGAAGCACCTTCTGGCCCATCATGGGGGTGATGATATAATGAACAGGGATCAATACTAAAGCTTTCCTAAGCAAGGGGTGCAAGCACCAGATCTATAGCTGGATAATATGTACATAAATGAAAAGCACGTATACACAAACCTCACTGCATGACATACAAGGGTACATGCATAACCAAAAAGGCATTAACTCAGGCGTCCAAGAGGCCTGGGGGGACATTAGAAAGGGTAGGAAATGGAGGGGAAAATAAAATAAAAACCAGGCGGGAGGATGGCATGTTCAAAGAATTGTGAAAGGGAAAGAGATTTTACAGTTTTTACATCCACAGTTCAAGCTTTTCCTGACAGAATCGGAAGATCCAACAACACTGGGTCCGGGTGCCATGCAGCTGCAGTCCACTGTCGCATGGGGTCACATCTGCTCTCCAGTCTAGCTGTGCCACCCACAGCCTCCCTCATTCCACACCACAAGTCTGGCCCTGCAGACCCCTGAGGTTGCTTCTGCTTGAGGACGTGAGTTTAGGGGAGGGGGGTTGTTTGTTTTATTGCCGCATACTTGACACACAAGGTCACACTGGTTTCAGGTGTCCCACGTAGAGATTCGACAACTCTCTGTAATACTGTGCTCACCACAAGGGGAGCTCCTACCTGAGGACATGAGTTTTGATGCCAAGGACCAAACAACAATTTCAGAAGGCAGGATCAACAGGTGCATTCTGGCTGCAGAGGGAGCAGCTGCTTGTCACTGGTGCTGGGGCAAGATCACGTGGGAGCTGGACCATTCTTGGCAATGCATCTGAAAGCGCTCTTGGGTGGATCACAGATGACATGGGTGTGGAGAGTGAGGCAAGCGGAAATGGGGAATAAGATCTGCATTTCACTCTTAATTAGCTCAGGAGGTGCTGATCCTGCTGGCAGAGACAAGGCACACTGACAGAGTATCTCCCAGTGTGAAGACTTTGAGTGCCATCTAGGACATGTTAAGTTTTAGATGCCCTTTAAGGACTCTCAGAGCACTGGGAATTCTGCTATAGAAACAGACAATTGGACAGTGTTTTTTCTGAAACACCAAGAGAGGTGTTTAACTCCTTCATGGTGAGAGCTCTTTGGGACTTCCAAACCCCACTGTGCCATGATGCAGTCACTGACTGCTTAAGCCCAGCCTTAGCACATCCATACTTATGTAGAAAGAACACAGCCCAGCTGGCTCATATTGTCCTGCATTTCCAGGACTGGAGCCTTCTGGGGGGACACCACAATCTCCCAAGTGCAAAAGGGGCCTTTGCTTGCTGCGGCCCATCCTGGAGGGCTGAAGTGCACCATGACACATGGCATAAGGAGGACAAATGTACCAGGAGGATGTTGCCATCTGTGTGAACCAACATGGCCCTTTTCGGAGCAGAGGTGGATAACATTTAGTCAAGACATGTGGACCCCAAGCAAGTCAAAGAGACTGAAGGGTAGTGCTGTCCAGTGGAGCGCTCAACCCCCCATGCAAGATCTTCCTAGACCAGAACAACATGAACTTCTCAGAGCACCAGTTTGTACAAAAAGGATGGATTTCCCCACCGAGAATCTGAGAAGCAACCACTAGGTATGAAGTAGGGAAGCTCAGAGATGTGGTTGAGAGAGATTTCTGCCACTCCCAGGAGAAGGGTCACAAGAGAAAGTGTGTTACTGAGTCCAGTCTGGGAACCACACAGCCTGAGATGATATCTGAGTGCAGGATCTATTAATGATGGGGCAGGCGGCTGGGATCTCCAAGGAGAGTCCCAGCTGGAGGTGCACAGAGACAGCACAGAGATGCCCACTGAGGCCTCAGTTATGACCAAGGCCATCCAGAGAGAGGGTATAAGAAGACAGGAGGGCACCTACTGCAAGACACAAACATGACTGACAGGCAGGGGACAAAGGCCTCTGAGGAGAGCAGCCAGAGAGTAAACTGAAGGCCAAGGGCAGAAGAGGTTTCAGGAAGGAACTGGCAGTCTCACGATCAAAGGGAAAAAAAATACAACTTATATCAAATTAAAGGGCTAATCTTTCTAATATATAAAAACCAAGAAGGGGTACCTGGGCGGCGCAGCTGGTTGAACGGCTATCTTAAATGCCTTATAAAAACAGGCAATTTACTGGCTGTGTTTTCTCCTACCACTAAATACAAATCCAGTAATTGTTTAACTTTGAAAGCTTTTTGGTGTGAGATTTGATACTTAAACAGAATGCAAAAGACAGAAAACACTCATAACGGCACCAACCCAACAAAAGAATCTTATATTTACATGTTAACTTTTCCTCCTGCCCGTGCATAGCCGCTTTCCCCATGAGTCCTGAAAGCTTTGTTCTGAAGTAGGATTTTAATGTCCACAAGTTAGTCCACTGACAAAGGCCACCAGAAGACTAACGGGGGCTCAGCTCCTGACCCAGAACTGCAATTCCTATCAGTGTATCTTGTCTTCACCAACTACCTCCGTGCCCCCTACTGTCAGAAACCGCTTAACTCAACCAAGAGGACACATGCAAGCCGCCTTGACTCGGCAGTGACCACAGCGACCACGTGCATCGGTGCTCTGAAAATCAAGGTAAGGGGTAAAGAGGCCAACGCAAACGAATCAGGCAGATGAGTAGCACTGTTCAGCGTTCACTGTGTGCTGGGCCCGCTCCTAAACACTCCGTATGCATCCCCTCCCCGGGTGTGCCCCCTCAGCACAGCCAGCACCACTGGGCAGGCGACCGAGGACCCCAGAAGCGCTCCAGGCTTGCTCCAGTCACGGGGCTGAAGAACACCGCCCCGCACTCCCAGCCAGCAGTTGTCCCAGAACCTCTGCCCTCCCCACACTCTGGCACCTCCCCACACTGCCTCGGGGCACAGGTGTGTTGGCGGGCTGGAAAAGCAAGTGGCCAAGGGACGGGCTCAAACCCCACGACTAGACTCCTTGGCGCCCGATCCACCTGACTTCCCAGCGTCCTGGTGAGATTTCCACCCCAGCTCCTCCTCTCCCTGACCCACGTTTCGGGACGCTCGATGCCCATCGCTAGTCACCAGCGCGGGGTGAGGATCACAGGTCCAAGCCCACTGCCGTGACACAAAGTTGGGAAGAACCGAAGTGCCCGTCGGAGGGGCGGTAAAGGAGTCCCGGGCGCACAGCCCGTGCGGGCCGCGCGCATCTCTAGCGCTACCACGGGAAAGACGCTGTGAGTTTTAACGTGGGGGGCAGAGCAGCACCACCACGCGTGGGGGGAAACATGCACAGATGCACGGACCCTGAAGCGCCTCTCCACACGCGACTTCTGAGCTACCACAGAAGAGTCGCGTCCGCCCCCCATCCCCGTGCAGGACCTGACAGCCGCCATCTCGCCAGTCATCGCATTCCCTCCTGAACCCGAGGGCCAACCCGCCCCATGGCCTCCCGCCACGGTGACAGACAACACAAACCTCATAGGCGACATCCCTGCCAAACGACCGGCCTGAATCTCATCAGGAGGATACGAGACACCCCCGCTG